TTTAATGACCATGTTTCACAGCCATACAGTAGAACAGAGCGGAATGCAGCACAGTACACTCGACCCTTAATAGATAATCAGATATCTCGGCGTCGCCAGAGATGGCGTAAATTAACAAAATCCAACCAAACCTTTTGTATCCATGCAGAGCTGATTCAAATTCCCATGTAAGTGAAGTGTTCAACGCCCTCATGCAACTAAGTGCAGCCTAGTTTTTAATGACAGTGTTCAGACTGGCAGAACTTCATGACTGCATTGAATTCGACTCGGTTACAATAAAATGAATAGACTCTCAGAAATTGTTTTAGTCAGTAGTGCAGTTTATTTATCCTACCTGGTGCAGCCAGAGGTAAGTCATAAGATATCCGGAGAAAGATGAATATTCACTTTGATGGTGGATTTTCCACATCTTTCTTTATATGTAAACATAATCTGCTGTCGTCTGAAGTAAACTGGTTTCTTAGGCATCACATTGTGTACCAATCTCAGTTGGTGGTATTATTTTTGTAAATGGTTCAATAGGAATGTCATCATGTCAGCTGGCTTTATTCTAGATGATATACTATGGTTATAAAAGCCTCTCCCCCAACCAACTAGAAAATTCTTCTTTATTCAGGTTAACTGAAGATGGTACTACACATGAATAAGTTCATATGTAGAGTAGGGGATGTTATCTTATTTGATCCATGGTGTCGATCTACATCTGTTGATCTGCTTTTACGTGTAACTATCAAGCTAAGGATATAGATAATGTCATATATTTCCCTTGACATTAGACGCTAGAAGGCAATATGTAGGAATCTTTGTAACCTGTTTGACATTAATCCTTCAATTAAACATCATTGCTGAGTTTTTCGCTCAAAGGATGACTTTTCATTCAAGTACCTTTCAAAAATTCATCTTCACTCTTACCAGACTGTTGACAAATTTTTATCAGTTCATATACTTCTATAGAGTAAGATATATTGGATGTACTTAGAGTTCACTTTCCAAACGCATTTCCGAACATATACCAGTCTGGTTCCATAAACGAAAGAGCTGGACACTTCACAGCTCTATTTTAGAACATTTGATCCATTATGATCACCTGATAAGTGCAGAAAACAACTTCAGTGTCATTTATAAAGAGTTCATACAAATCTCTTAAAACTTCTCCAAACTGAAAAGGCGTTGCTTTTTAATATTTTGAAGCTTGAGTTCTATGTTCAAAAGAAATTTGTTCAGTCACTTGATTTGTAATGGACATAATCTATAAGACCATTTTTAGCTTCAAATATCTTTCCATTCAAATCTCATATATTACATTCCTCAACTTCTATAGTTCTGATTTCTCTTTACATTCACCACAGTACATAATTTAACTTAGTAACCAAATATCAATTCGGTCTTGATAAATCTTCCTTGAACACTTTGAGAATGATATCGCTGAAAAGAGTGGCTCTTAGCTATACACCTTTTCTTTTATACATTTCTGTATATTTAAATGAATGCATAGTTTCTTTAAAGTCTTATCAGTTCCCATATTAAAATAAAATATTTTATACTTAGAAACAAAAACAAACGTCAAACGATTACATGAATTTTTGATAGCGGTAATTATGGAATTAAAAATGTTTAACAATTTTATTTCACAAGTTAATCTAGTAGTAGAAATCATTGCAAGCAAACTTCAACGTTCAAAAAAGATGTTTCCTTCAATCAGTTTAAGATAAACGTTCAGCTATGGATGTATATATTATAACCACATTTGAAAGATAGACTCCATCATATGTCCATGTTATTGTGTATCTATAAATTCAACTGTTTCTGTGTAGTCAGCTACTCAGGATGAATAATGAGAACCTTTACAAAACGTGTGAAACAATATTTATCAGTATGGCTGGCAAAAGAAGAGGTAAAGAAGATCACAAGTTTCATCCAGTCCCATTTAATCGATCATCATCATCACAATGTTCACATTGAGTCCGTTTCCTCAGTAATCCACAATAGACCAATCAACACTAGTCAGGCAAATACAGCTATTTCAGATAGTCAAATGATAATCAATATGATATTCACCCTCTTTGATTCAGTTAGATTTTGGACTGGGATGAGAAGTCCTGACTGGACTGGGTAGCCAGTGGGAACACGATCAAGTGGTAATAACGTGTCATGAATTCACATGGTAGTCGGGAAAAGCCCCACTCATGATTGAAATGAAATAAAAATGTGGTCAGCCGTCAGGTCTCGTAGTTCAGTTGCTAGAGATTTGAGCCGGAAACCTAGTGGTTACTGGTTCGAACCCCACCGTGGTCTAATATTCTCATTCCACTTCCGATCATCGCCAAAACACGAATATCTCAGATAATCAAAATGATATTTAATTTGGTGGAATTTACATAACTCAAGTAAACAATAAATCAGTTAACTTGATCCTTTCAATCTGATTTAGCGTTTTTTGTTTTGCTTGCATACTTACATTTACATTAGAGTAGTTTTTATGCTTTTAATTTTCATTTGATCCAATATGCCATAGTTACTAACTGCCTCTTATTATTTCTAATTGTAATCCAATGGTAATTACTGTTTGTTCACATACTTGGAATTCTCTGTTGTTTTATTGAATCGAATTGTTTGACCTCTATTAGCATATGAGCTCTTACGTAGCTGTCTCGATGGTGCCTGGGTGTTAATTATAGTAATTTGGTTGTGGCTAGTAGAAGAATCCAGAGTGCACGCTTTATCCTATTTGGGACTCATCAGCTGGATGTACCCGCACACCAGTGAGTGCTGTTGTTCTCACTGAGACTCAAACTTCATCGATTCAAACGCCAAATGGTTTCCCACTATGCCACTTATGCGCGAATAGACACTTCTTGTACAATGGGTATTGCCATAATTAACATTCAGACAATAGTGAGGCATTCGCATAGGAGCCCGTATGCTAATAGAGGTCAAACAATTCAATAAAACAACGGAGAATTACAAGTATGTCAATAAATAGTAATAACTACTAGGTGTTGTACAAGGAGTCCTTAACGTGCATCCGTGGCATAGTGGATAACGCCTTGGCGTTTCAAGCGATAGGTATGAGGTTGGAGTCTCAGTGGGAACAATATCACTCCGCACTGAGGTTCAGGTGCATCCAGTCTCAAGTGGAAAGAAACGCGCGTCCTGGATTACTCTGCTAGCCACAACCAAACAAGTTACCAGTCGTAATTAATAATCCATAAACCTATTAGTCCTTTTATACGTTAACGATACGAAGTCTTGTGAAATAAAATTGTTACACAATTTGAATCTCACAATTAGAGCTTAATGTACAGGCAAATATCAAAAATTCATGTAACCATTTGACATGTGGTTTTGTTTCTGAGTTTGAAATATTATATTTCAATGTGGGGTCTAATGAGACTTTAACGAACATAAGGATTCACTCAAATTCTTATCTTTTCAACGCTACACCGGGAATATTCCATATCTTGTCTGTGTCTTGCAATACAAATCTGTAACATACCGTATAAATTGAGGTAACTAGAATAACTGGGTGAATAGTAAAGTATTCTTTAATTATATTATAAGCCATGATGGATAACATTTCGGCGTTCGAAGCGATGACCACACGTTTAGAGTCGCAGTTAGAATGACGTCACTTACTGAGGTCCAGGTCGATTCAAATGGTGAGTCCCAAATCGGACAAAATATACACCCTGGATTCCACTGCAAGTCACCAAGATGAATGCAACATCATGAATATCCAGCAATATAGAGGAGTCGGCATAGGAGCCCATCTGACAGTAGAGGTCGAGCAATTCCACGCAGTATAGCAACCAGAAATTACAAGTATGAATAGATAACAATATATTTTAAGGGTGTTTTTAGACTATATTTCGGTATTTTATTCTGTCCCAAGCCCTCTTCTACTGAACAAGCTACACGGAACTAGTACTGAGTCCTAGATAATCAGCTAGCCGCATTCCAATGATGACCTAACAGTTTCCATACCTATCTTCTCTTCAACACATTGTTCCCAACTGAACGCTTTCCTATCTACTCTTAGCTGATAGTTCTCCATAAATGGCCTTGTGCTTAATTCTTCAGTGTCAGACTATAAACTTCAGTTTTAGACGTGAACATAACCTATGTAAACTGCTTAGTTCTCATGAGAGTATCTAGTGTAACTTAGCCTGTCATCTGGTGTTTCAAAAACTCCTGCATCTTGCCTGTTCTCCCCTATTCTTCTCCCTCATTCTTTTCCTGGTTGGTGAAAAAAGACTATTCTCTATTGTCTAGAACTTTGAAGATTATCAGCAGAACTAGGTTGATGTACCTCTAAACCTTCTAGTTAAAACACTTGTGGACAGACATACTGACTGATGCAAACATCTGGCATGAATTATTTTATCAGATGACCAGCATCCTGTTCACTCAACACTCTCTGCATGTCGGTCATCTGGAAAGACAACGAGCAACTATATGACACTTTATCCACATACTACAAAATATAAAATCTCTACATTACAGTATTATTTAGCTCGTCTGATGTGCAATGAATAAAGTGTTGCGAATGGACTAACTAATCAACTTCCCTTTTTCAAAGCAAACTAATTGATGAGTACACGACATGTTACTATTTATCTATTATGAATCTAATTACTAATTGTGATTTTCTATCTAAATTAAGTGTACATTTTCAAGAAAGTTGTAGATGGAGTGAATATTCTTACCTTTTCTTAATGTAATTTATACTTATTCCATTTGTTATGTATACATGTACACTGTTTGTGTCCAATTGATGGTGTATGACATGCTGAAAATTCAGTAGAGTATTCCTGAAATATCTTTCAGAATAAAGCCATTATTGTTATTATTATTATTACTAAATAATCACTACGGGGTAACCGTAAATTAGACGGCCAATTCTTTTTGAAGATACATTGGTAAATTGTTCATTACTTCAGTTCAAATTTTAAAAAAAATTTTCTCAGGTACAACAAGGAAATAGAAATCGTGATTCGCTTCTAATCACTCTAATATCTCAATATACTAACAAGAGAGATGAGAATGCTGAAATTTGGTTAAAATAATTTACTGAATAAAATAATCATCTGTAAAATTGTTAAATCATCTACAATACACTTTTAACTCTGAAGTATTACTTAGGTATGAATTTTAGAGATATGTAAGTCAAAAACCAGCTTTGAACAGCATAACAGCGTATCCATTCATGTTGAAGAATATAAAACCATTTTCTTCATGTGAGATGAAACTGAGAAAAAGAGGCAGGGGAAAAAAAGAAAGAAGAAAACACTTAGTACCAAGATCCTTTGCATTATAAATGATGATCATAGATAAAATCACTGAAAACCGAAGGCTAGTGGATATTTACCGGTTTATGTTTATTTCGAGTAATTTCTACTCCGGAACATACCTTTATGGACGTTTTTCTTGCAGAATAGTCAACTCTGTTAGTTGGATGGAGGCAATGAGCAAGAAGCCGTGGATTTGGGTTTCGTGATTGTTGGCATCTGTCAGGCAGGCGTATCCTCACTCTTTACACCAGTGTTCCTGCCTGAGATTGGAACTCGTGTCACCCATTGCTGTAGTCAGCAACGTTACCACTAAGCTATTCTGACAGAGACTAACCCCCTGTAGGACATGATTAGATATATTGATTGGTTACTGGAGGGTAACGAACTTCATGCTGTCTAGTCTTAAGTGCTGATTGTTAGAACACTGGGTAACGTGGGTTCGAATTTCAGGTGGGACATCAGTTCCGTCGAGGTTTCAGATACGTCTTGATGACTAGTGCCGACAAGCACGAAACCTAGGTCCATGCCCTCCTGCTGATTGCCTACATCCAAATAACATTTGTCAAAGTACATCACGATGTTGCGTCAACTAGTCTGATGGCCATATTGCAAAATGATCCATAAAATTCGATTAGCACTTAGTACCAAACAACTCTCCAGTGAACAACCAATGTGTTTGATGCTCCAATGTATGAAGATGTGATGTGCACTGTTCGTTACTGAATGAAGATCAGCATGAGTTTCAGAATTGTTTAATTTCTATATTGGCTGATGAAAATCAACAAGGGTACATTTTGTACCGTCATTTTGTTCAGAACTTTGTTAATTTAAATGATATCTGTTAGGCATAAACTTTTATCAGCTTTATTTTTATGGTATTCGATAAAATCTCTAGAAATTCAACCTTTACCATATTCCAGTAGATTTTACCGAGACTGAATGTCCCATGGAAATATTCTAGTTCCAAGTGAAGAATGAAGTTACAAGTAAACAGATTGTTTAAAATTTTGGAAAAAGTGTGAAACTTTAGATAAGGAATTCACCATTTAACATATTTAGGTTATAACCATTTTCACGAAAGCAATACACTTGAACAAATATTTATATTTCTGTTCATCATATCCGAATACGGGAAAGCAGCAGGACTAGATGTGATCCCACCAGAAGCACTGAGAACAGACGCGGAGACAACAGCGGACATGCTCACACCACACCACTATTGCAGAATGTGTGGAAGGAAGGGAAGGTACCTGACTAGTGATTGGAAGAAGGGTTACCTTGTGAAACTGCCGAAGAAGGGAGACAGACCTCTATGTTTGCAAGAACTGGTGCAAGATCACTCTCCTGTCCACCCAGAGCAAGCAAAATATGGAGCCGCATCATACTGGAGATGGAGACTAAAGGATGTGCTGGATTCAAAACTATGACCGGAATAGGCTGGCTGGCTGGTTTCAGGAGGTACAAATCATGTGCCGACCAAATTGCAATGCTTCGCATCATGATGGAACAGAGCATAGAATGGCAGTCAACTCAACTCTACCTCACCTCAACTTCATTGACTTTGAGAAGGCCTTCAACAGCATCGATCGAGAAATAATTTGGCAGGCAGTTGTTTCAACACTACGGAATACCGCAAACCTTTATCAGCCTCATTCAACAACTATATGAAGTATACACATGCCAGCCAAGTAATTCACAATGGGAAGCTCAGCTCAGTGATGCCTTTGGAGTGAAGTGAAGTGAAGACAGGAGTGAGACAAGGCTGCCGCCTACTATCACCCATGATATTCCTGATTGTGGTCGACTGACTGGATCATGCAGCAGACAACTGTGAGGAGCGAGAATAGACGGATACACCGACTCAACAGGGGAGAAGATCCTAGAAGATTTGGATTTCGCCAATGATGACTTGTGTCTAATGTCTTGCTGCACAAACTTGAAGATCTACAGGCGAAAACTAACAAGTTGACAGAAGAGGTAGGACAGGGCAGTGAATACGGGACCTGCTTCAAGTGGATGTAGAGAAGACAGAGGTGATGATGATACCCAACCAACGCCGCCATCACCACCACTAACAACAAGCTCCAATCACCATGAACGGGAGAAACTTAAAAGAAGTAACCTCCTTCAGTTATCTAGGCAGCACTGTTTCAACTACAGGCAGCGGCACAGACAAGGACTTCAAAGGAGCCAGGATGGGAAAAGCAAGACAGACGTTCATTAGCCTGAAACCAGTGTGGAGATCTTCTGCACTCCATTCAGCATGTGGAACAAGATCCGGATTTTCAACACTAATCCAGTGAAGTCAGTGCTTCTGTGTGGTGTTTCAGAGACTTGGCACATTGCAAAAGGGATTTCCAACAAACTACAGACATTGATCAACAAGTGGCTACTCTGGCTCGTTACTGAAGCTCAGATGGATTGCCAGAATGATAAGAATAAGCAACAAGGAACTCAGTCTGGTTGGCTGGCTGGCTGGCTGGCTGGCTGGCTGGCTGGCTGTCAACGAACCAAGCAAGAAGCTATCGCTGAACAAATATGCAGTGGAAGGAATTGGAGATGGATTGAAGTGGCATGCACTGAGAAGACCATTCGGAGACATCACGTACCGTGCCCTCGAGTGGAACCCAGATGGGAAACGACTAGTTGGGCGTCTGAGTCGATGGTGACATGGAGGAAATCTTGCTAGGAGGAAATGAGAGGTTGTGGGCTGTTGTGGAGCCAGGTTCAAAAGATTACAGAGAAGAGAGTGGAATGGAGACGTGCTACTGAAGACCTATGTTGCATTAGGAACCTAAGGGATAAATAATAATAATAATAATAATAATATCCAATTAATGTGGAGGTTTTTGTTACTCCTAATCTTTCAAGGAAAGCATATATATCTTAACGAAGGATGAAAATCGAAGAGTTAATGAATTAAAATATGTGAACAAGATTCTTAAAATGAATAATTATACAGGGGAAATTCTTTAACAAGACTGAAAATAATATTAAATTAGATCGTAGAACTACCCTTAAAGCATGGACTAGAACAGTGGTCATCCTATATAGATCACAAAACTCGGATGAAATTAAGACACTGCTAAACAAATGCAATATCAGAGTGTTCTGCAGAATATCAAACATATTTCAGACCAACTTACTTCATTTGAATGATACAATCTTTCTGAATTCCCAATCTAATTTTGTTTTTTAAAATAAAATACAGAGACTACGTTGCAGCATATATAGGACAAACTTCATATGAAATCAAAATTAGAAGAAAGAACACCGAAGAGTTTCTACCTGATACTCTAGAAATCTAAAAGAACTCAAACAGTTTGAGAACATTTCATTTATAGCTGGGCATAAGATCGATTTTAACAATATGGAAATTATTAGCAAAAGGTTTTAGAAAATGATAGGGAACGTCTGATAGCAGAATTTCTTTGTATCAAGTAGAATCAAGTTTGTCTAAATAGGAATGATCTGGTTTCAATCCACCTCTGTATACATACTGACATAACCAACACATGTTAGATAAGAACTGTCAGCATATACACATCTCAGTCCATAATATGACATACTCATCACACATAATGCAATACATATGTACATAATCTTTGTTCAACAATTTGACAACATATAATCATCCAGCCAGAAGAATGAATAACAAATGATGAATGCCACTTTAAAAATAAAATCCCCATTAACCTCAAAATACATGCTCCTAGATGGATATCCCGAAGTTCAGATGAGAAGCTGTGACTTGTGGGGTCATCTAGTAGGAAGTGAAGCGGATGACAACTAAAAACCTTGGATGATAGTCATGTTATATCGCGACAGAGATAGAAAACTGTGGATATTTTGTACATATAATTCTGGTTTCTCCATACACATAGTAAGAGATTCTGCAGTACAGAGAAGACAGAAATGCACTAATTTCAGTATGTTTCTTTTGACCTTTTAGATAACTTTGAACGCTAAATCGATTGTTCTGCTGTGACCATTGTTGACAAAGTGTTTGGTTAGTCCACTTCTGATCGATCCACTCACATATCTATGGAGTCAGGTGGGGTTATATTCTTTAACCCGTTTGGCAAGAATCCCCACCGAATGACCTACACATCTGGCTTATCTTTCAGGTTTCCAGAAGACACTGAATGACTGGCGAATACAATTCTCTAGGTTGACGTGAAGAAAGTTTTCTTTAGCGAGTTTCAAATTCTTCTTTTCAAGATGTCAGCAGTGAAGTCACCTTTGAAGTTAAAATTCAGGCACGATGTCTTTTTTAAAAGTGAAACTGGTATGTCTGTTTGTTGTTTGGATCTTATGTTTTGGCCTCAAATCTTGCTGGAAATCCGTTTTCAGCCAGAATCCTGTTGAAAAACGTGAGTTCTTCATCTAAGCTATCAGTGTTGCAGATTCTTTGAATGTAGTGGGTAAAGGACTCGATAAGTGTTCCTTTTTTGGCCTATAAGTAGTCAACTGTAGAAATTCGTCAGTTGACCATTCCATATGGGTTTCCTGTAAATAGACTACTTCCTTGTCCGATCATCTTGTTCAGTGATTTCCACACCTAAGAATGGAATCTTTGATACGGTTTCTACTTCAGACAAGAATTTAATTGAGGGGTGGCAACTGTTAAATACTTGCAAATGAATATCAACAAGTAGGAGACTCTTTTCTGCTTACCGGTAAATATTGTTACTATTGTGTAAAGGTATATTTTTGTTGATGTCTCTAGATACTTTCATCATTTTTGTGCATTCATCATTTACCTTAACTTAATTTGTTATGTAAGTCTCTTTCCTGTTTATCATACAGAATATTGACGTCTGTGTGCACCCGTAAGGCTATTTTTAAGCTCACTCTTAAGATAACAACGCGTCAATATCTTGACAAATAACAACTTTTACCGTAATGTGAGGGGGGGGGGTGGAGGCAAGCGCATACAGTTGATGAGTCCCAAGTA